GTCCTGTCGTTGTTCCTCGGTATAACGCTGTAAGGGGAAATGGTGTTGACGTGCTTGTCGATTCCCATCGGTGACATTTGTAACTCCCGCCGTCAGTTCCTATGGGTGTTTGTTTCTCTCCTGGCTTCTCCCCTCCCACGGCGGGCTGAGCCGCGGCTCTGCGGCATCCCGGCACCGCGCTGATCCGCAGCCGAGGGGGAGCAGAGCCGCTGTGCGCAGAGCTGTGCAGCCGCTGCCGGCCGCGTTTTCCATCCGGTTCCTGGAGAACGTTCACTTGGCTCTTCTGTTTATTTCCTTTATTTTTTAATCTACTTTCAGAGATGACTTGGGAGCAAACTGTGTTTGTTGGGTTTGGTTTTTTTCCTACCTTCTTTTGAAGATGCGGTACAAATGCCAGTGTTTTTCTATTAAATTATTTCCTTTTGTTTTCTTTTGTTTTATTGTGGGTTTTAATACAGTTATTTTCTTAACGTTAAGTGCCTTTTTGAGCACCAGAACAAAGGCCTGGAATCGATGTCCTTGGAGCTGCGTCCCGATTTCCTTTGTACAGTTACGTTGTGCTGTGGCTGGTTGCTTTTGAAGTACTGCTAATTATCATTTTTGTTTTTTAACGAAAGGAAGCCGAGACGTTTTGTTGAAGAGTAAGCAACCCCTTTTTAATACGATATTCCAATTGTAGTTTTAACTGCTGTAAATTTAGGGGGGGGCGGGGGGAAATGTATTTTTCTGTAACTCGGCACAAAACGTAACCACACGGTAGGAGTATCATAACTGGAACCCGCTCATGTTCTGTGAGTGACTTTATCCTGCTCCTCGGTATCTCTTCCAAGGCTCAAAGACTGGAGGCTCACCGAGTCCCGGGGCGGTTGGCTGCAGCCTGCAGGCGCCCGGGGCCCCGGGGCCGTTCCTACTGAGCCCCGGCCCGCGGGAGGTGGGGCCGCCCCAGGGGCTTCTCTGCCGTGCAGAGCCGGTGCCGCCCCGGCGCCTGCGGCCCCCAGCCCCGAGCCCGTCCCGGGACTGCGGCCGAGCGAGCGTTGCTACGGGAGGCCCTCGTGCCCGGCCCTGGCGCTGCGACGGCGGCGCATCTCTCGTCCTTCGGCTGCGGTGCCCGCTGCCCTTCCTGCGGCGCTGCGCCGTGCGCCTGACGAGCGGCGCTGTGTTTTCACAGTGCGCCACGGGATGTCCCGAGGCCGATGGGCTCCTGGTGCTGGGCTGCGTGCTCTGCTGGGCTTTGGTTCTGTAAGGAAACCTCAGGAACTGCTGTGGGCTGCCCCTCGTCGCGGTCGTCGTCCTCCCCGTGGGTGTTGTCTCTGTAACGTGTGGTGCGATGCCGTCAGCTAGAGCGGTTGGGTCCTCTGTCCTGTGCGCTGATGATGCCGTGTAGATGGAGCCACTGCTTGGAGGTGGACTCGTCCTGTTGAATAAAACTGCTTAACTTTTCTCAAAATCACCCGTTGTGGTTTCAGTGTTTGCCTCCCTGCTGCTGCCTGGGGAGCTGCGGGGCTGTCCTGCATCCCATCCCTCACCCCCTGTGGTTCTGTGCCCTGCTCCCGGCCCTGGCAGCACCTCGCAGCCAGCACTGAGCGCCTGCACTGCTGGCACTGCCTGCTGTGCCCTGTGGTGTGTGGAGCCCAGCTGCTGAGAGTGCAGATGGATGCTTTGCTTTCAGCCGTGGACAAGTGGGGAAGATGCAGGGAAAGGAGATGTAGGCCAATAAAAACCTAAAGCTTCCAGCAGGTGTAAATTCGTACATTTCTATGGATGTGGGAGGACTTGCATGGATCTACACCAGCCGGGGATGTACCCTGTATTCCAGAGCTGCTTGTTTTTCATTTAAAATGCATTTCTGCAAACCTAGTGGGAGTGTTCCCCAAAGTGTGAAGTCTTTGCCTGGAGGGTCCCTGCACCAAAGCTCTGGAGTGCAGGTGAGGAGGTGGGTGCTGCTGGGATGGGCAGGGATGCTGGTACTCGTGCTGGGCTGGTGCTGTTCTGCTCTGAGCTTCAGCTCAGTGAGACATGCTGTCCTGCCAATGCAAACACTACAGTTGTCTGAACAAGATAGTAAGTCCATAAACAAGGGGAGGCAGGGGATGTTTAGGTGGGATGCAGATGCAAATGTTTAAAAGTGGCACAGAGGGTGTAGGGGACGTCCTTATGGGTGGCCACATGGGCAGGGTGTTCTGGGATGAGCAGCATCCCTTCCTGGGCGAGGAGAAGCCCTGTGCCTGCCCAATAGCCATGGCTTGGTCCGTGTCCCCGGCACAGGGGCGGTGATGGGGCTGCACTGCATGGGCCTGGAGCTGCACAGGGGCGGTGCTGGGCCCCACCGTGCAAGCAGGGCTCGTGCATGGACGGCTCACCAGGTCCGTGCTGGGAGCGTCTGGGGCGATCACGACTACAACTGTTGCTGCTACAGCGCTTTCCCCAGCACTGAACTCTGAGCCGCTCTAAGCAGTTTAGCTCGTTAATGTTCGTGAATCAGTATGAGATTATCTTGAAATGGAGAGCCGCTTTGGTGGGAAAGCACGGAGACAGGCCGGCTCCTGCCTGAGAGCCGACTGCGCGTACAGCAGGCAGCCCTGAAAGGCTGCATGGGCTCGAGGTGTTGGGCAGACATCCACGGCTCTGCCAACGGGTACCGGGAGTGCAGAGCGGGCTGAGGGCTGGTGCGGGACCGGAGCGGAGCTTCTGCGCTGCGTCCCGTGCTCTCCCCGCAGTTCTGTCCCGGGTGGGGGCTGTGCAGCTGCGCGGGGCTTTGAGCGCAACTTCAGCTGCGAATTTCCGAGCCGAGCAAAACTCCGCCGGCCATCCGTGCGCAGCCGGAACTGCGCGCAGCCCCGCGGCCGCCAGAGGGCGCCGCCCGCCGCCACCGCGGAGCTCGGAGCGGCGCGTCGGGAGGGGCGGGCGGGGATCGCGTCCGTCATCTGCGGGGCTCTGATGGAGGCGGCGATCGTCCCGAGTGCGCGCTGTCCGTCAGCAGCCTGTCCGTATGGTGCTCGTGGTACGGGACGAAGAGAACGCAGGAGCGAAATAGGAAAGAAACGGTGGCAGAACGTGGAGTGGTTAATGCTCTGACCTTCGGCACAGAGCACAGTGAGTGCTTTCGGTCCTGCTGGCTGGATTGAATGAGACAAATAAGTGAAATGTTTAATTCTCCCCACCCCACATTTAAAATCAATGAAGTGCCTTTAGCAAATGAGGGAAAGATTTTCCATCTCTCTCTGGAGCAGGAGCGAAGGGCACGGGGCAGTGAGCGCACAGCACGGCGCTGTGCCCGCCGGGACCCATCCCAGCCCTGCCCTCAGCTCCACTGCAGGAGCTCTGCAGCTGTGCTGTGAAAATCAGCTCCCCCCACCTTTGTTAGAATGAGAAATTAAAAACGATGACTTCTGCAGCCCTGCAGGCCGCTCTCCATTGAGGCACTGCAGACGGCCTTCAGCAGGCGCTGGGGATCGTGGTGTTACCCATCTTCTGGAAGTACCGCAGCACGGGGGGTTGGAGTGTTTGCCATGTTTTCCCAAGGGAAAGGAGCCAAGCAGGCAGTGCGTGAAGTGAACGTGGCAATGTCTGGCTGAGCCAAACCAGCCCTTTCTGAAAACTCTCCCATTTGTAGATTCTTCCCCCCTGGTGCCCCATAGCATTTACCTCTGCCCTCAGTTAGCCCCGACCCATCAGCATCGCTGCGTTATCAGATGCTCAGATTGGCTGTGCTCACTGCGCCCATCTCATGACACTTCAAGAGAAAGTTAAATATTATTTCTGGCTGCTCCAGATGCTCATTCTGACAGCTCTGCGATGGAAGTTTCCAGACTGCTCTTCTGAGCTGTGACATTTTTTCCATTGATTTACACTGGCCTGAAACCACCGAAGAAGACAAAGAAACCCGTAAAGGAAGAGAGTTTTCACTGCGCTTTTGAGGCACTTTTGCATGAGAAGAGCAGGTGCCCACGGAGCTGTGGTGTGAGCAGAGGTGGATCCCCACACAGCTCCCCCATCCCAGTGTGCCCACCGACCACATCCCACAGTGCCATGTCCCCATGATTGTGGAACCCCCCCATTTCAGGAGCCGTTTGTGTTGTGCTCATTCAGCTGAGGCTCCTTGCTGTCAGCCTGGTGGTGTGGTTTGGCACAGAGGGAGCTCTGCCCGGAGATGCTCTCAGTCCTGCATTACATGCTGCCAAACACATGGGCTGTTACTGGGTGCTGCTTCTGTGCTTCAGGGACGAGGAGCTGAGCCACGGCAGCTCCTGCAGCCGCTGCCCACCCCGGCTTTGTCAGTGCAGCTTTACTTTGAAGCTTGCAGGTGGCTTTTGGTGGAGCAGCGGGAAACAACGTTGTGCTGGAAGGCCGATGCGCAGGGAAACACTACGAACAGATTCCTGATGCCAGAACCACCTGCATGCTCAGCACTACTGCTTAGCAATGTGACAAATGCCACATTTTAGTTGAAGCATAAGAGAGGGCAGAGACATGCAATGGGACTTTGAAAACCTCAGCTGCCAACAAGACTGCAAACAGAAAGAAGGAAATATGAATTGCTGATGAGTTCAGGTGGTGTCATTATCAGGTGTTTATTACGAACAGATGGGGTCGGTTCTGTGGCAGCCGGGCTGCGAGCACTGCAGGTAACGAACGGCACGGTGATTTCCACCGTAAGGAGCAACAGAGCCGAAGCTGTTGACAGAGACGTGCGAAAGGAAGGAGGCAGCGCCAGGCGTTACCGGCACGCGGACCGATGCATTCAAAGGTGAACCGCGCTGCGTGCCAAGAGCGCTGCGCAGCCACGCGACCGCCGGCAAACAGCGGCAGCGCAGGCGAACGCGCGCAGCTCCGCTACGGGCCGCGTGCCGCCACCGCGGGCCGCGCGCGTGCGCAGAGCCGGGCGTCTCGGCAACGCCGCGCGGGACTACAGCTCCCGGCAGCCACCGCGACCGGAAGTGGCGCGCGGCGGCGCGCGGGATTCGGACCGGGAGCGGCTCGGGCCGCGCCGCGGGGATCGGGCGCGGGATCATGGCGCTGGCATTGCCCGAGCCGCCGTGGCCGGCCAGCCTGTCACCGCTGAAGGTGCGTGGGGCCGGGCGGGGCGGGGGAGGGAGTTGGGGGGCGGCGGCCCGCGGGCCCCGGCCTCAGGTGGAGGCTGCTGCGGAGCCGCTGCAGGGATGGAGGCCAGGCCCGGGTCTGTGTTTCGTGCCGCGCTATCGTGCCGTGCCATGCCATGCCATACCCATACCCATACCCATACCCGTACCATACCGTGCTACCGTACTGCACCACCATACCGCATCATACCGTGCCGTGCTGTCCGCCGGGCACAGCGGTGCCTCAGCCGCTCACCCAGCCCGCTCTCGTTGCAGGCCGTGGACGATCTGCTGCGCTGTGGGATTTGCTTCGATTACTTCAGCATCGCAGTGATCATCCCGCAATGCTCCCATAACTGTAAGTGCGGCCCGTTCTGCCCTCTGCGGTCGCTGCCGCCCCGTCCCGCTGCTCCGTACCCTGCGTGGCGCATCTCCCGGTCGTTACAGTGCAGGCCAAAACGCGGCGGCCCCGAGGGCTGACAGAACCTTCAACTCCTTCGTGTGGGTGACAAAACTATTAAAAAATGTCTGCGTGAGATTTTTCTCTCCCTCAGAGTTTCACAGGGCAGTCGTGGTTTGGCCATTTGTTACTTACCACCATGATGCACAGAGGTCTCTGGTTCTGAGCTTCCTTATGAAATGTGTAGCCCTTCCCTGTGTGGTTTGGGCAGCAGGGATGTTTTCCTGTGTGGGGCTGTGGAGGAGCAGTTTGGGGTGAGAGCTGTGAAGCGGACACTGACTTCTCTGACAATATGAAAACCTCTTGCTGGGCTCAGTGCACTTAGAGATCACCTGGTCCTGAAATCCTTCGCTTAAATGTCCTTCATTCAGCCATGAGGGTGGAACAAAACCCGATCTGTAGCGCTGAGCCCATGAAGTGTTTGAGGTACAGCTGTCTGTGGGGCTGCTGCCTGCTGGGTGCGATAGCAAAGTGCTTCCCGGGGAGTCAGAGAAGAGGGAAGCCTTCAAATAAAGGCTTACAATTGTGTTGTTCAGAAACAGTAGCACTTACCTGAAGGGGTCATTGTAGCTCGGTGGTGAAATCTGCTTTAGCTTGGCAAAGCTGTAGGCATTGAGAAGGCCGTGCCTGCAGTGGGCGCACTTTGCAGCAGGCGTGTCGGAGCTGCCCGTGGATTGGCTCTGATGCCTGTGGCTTCCGAAGGGGCTGCCTGCCTTGTTTGGCAGGTTCTCCTCTGATCCTCCCCTGCTCTTTGCAGCAAGCCTCTCTTTTCCTCTGTAAATCAAGATGTCCTGAAATGTTTCCTACTAGGTTGTCTCTGTGTCATTTCTTCAGTCCAGTGGACCAAAAAATCCTCTCCTGTTAATGATTGTTTATAAATAGATGAAGAGGAGATGCATCTACCTTTGCATTTGCTGGCAGAACTTTTTTCTGTTGACTTGTTTTTCTTAATGCTCCATTGTGGGGCTTGCAGCCATCTGCAATGTTTGTGCCCACCGCCCCTTAACGCCCCTCCCCTGCTGCAGGGGGTGGTGCTGGGCAGCTCTCCTGGCAAGAGCCAATCACGGCTGCAGTGCTTTGGTTGTGTCTTCAGAGACAGAACAGAAGGGCCGTTCCTGTTTCCTTCACATAATAAAAGCATCTGCTGAAACTCTCCAGTCGCATTCTGTAAGAGAAGTGTGCTGGGGAGTAGCGGTGCTTTTTGTCCCTTGAAGTGGTTATAAAAGCTCACGGATGAGGCAGCGGGGTAATAGCAGGGATTTATTGCAACAAAATGAAGCTTGTGGTGTGTTTCACCATAGAGGCTGCCGAAGGATCGATCCCCTGGCGGCGATGTGACTTGCTTTTACCAGGGAACGTTTAAGCTGCCTCTCACTTAGCATTCCTGTGCTGTTTCTCACCATTCTTAGCTGTTCTTCTCAGTAAACGTGTTGGCTTTGTTTGCCACAGATTCTGGGGAAAGAAGTATTTAATGCTATGGAAAAATGGCATAGTTTCAACACAACTGATGTGTTGTGGCATAGCTTACATATGTAGATAGGAAAACGTGTATGTGTATATCAAAATATACTAACAAGTGTGTGTTGAACTGCGTGTGGAAGGAGACCTGCTGAAAGTCGTATCTTTTCTTTTTCCAGATTGCTCCCTGTGCATACGCAAGTTTTTGTCCTACAAAACTCAGTGTCCAACGTGCTGTGTGGTAAGTGGTGGCTCTGTGTTGTTTTTAGCCATCTCAGCACGCTGCTGTCTGGGCTGCAATTCTGGGTGTGTTCTACCACCTTCCCTTTCCTAGGCAGCAGTTTGGACAAAGTGTGGTGCTCTGATCTCTGTAGTAGGTGAATTTCTCTGGTAGTTCTCAGTCAGCAAAAGCTGATGGAGCACGAAAGCTCAGTTTTGGCACTGAGCTGCGTACGAAATCTGTCATGGAGCATTCAGCGTTGCCTCCTGATTTGTTTAAAATAAGTCAGAATGTGAGTGCTAAGTTGAAGCATTTCAGTGTTCTGTGGTTGAGAGGCCTCACTTCCCATTCTTTCACAGCTTAGAAGCACCCACAGACCACACAGTGGTCAGTGCATGGGCTGTGCTGTGTGGCCTTCTGGGGATGGAAGAGCTGCATGGCAGGGAGAGGAGATGTGTCCTGCCAGAGTGAGCCCCCGTGTGAGAAGCACTCTGCAGCTTTGCCTGCCCTGCAGCTGGCTGACCATTGCCATCTGTCTCGAGGCCCTTTCTGCTCAAAGCACACAGCATGCAGTTTACCCGTGGCCCTAGGTTAGCTTTCTGTCTTAAGCCAGTGTGTTGTATTGAATCCTTACAAATGTTAGGCTGCCCAAAAACAATCAGTGGTGCTTTGTGAGCATCGGCAAGGTAGAAGGCATTTTCTTCTGTGTTTGTAAAGCATCCACCAGATGAGACTTTTCAAGACTGAAAAGCAGAGCTAGCTGTAACTTTGTCAGTTTTCAAACATTCAAACAAGCACAGACTATTTGATGCATGTTTCTGGGAGTACATCTCACTGGTGCCTTCTTAAAAAGCATCACGAGTGGTATGAACAAGACCAGTAGGAGTTGAGTTATGGTGAAAGAAGGGCAAAGAAAAACAGCCAGAGAGATAAAAACCAGGAATTGCTTTAAAAGAATGAATTGAATGTGTGAAGCTGTCTCACGATTCCCGTTTCTTTTTCCATCTTCACCCCAGAGATTAACATCTTCATCTCTTTTCATTCCCTGTTGCTTAAACTTCTTGTCACATTGATTGGCTCCTTGCTTTGGTTTCCAAAATGATTGTAGTGTGGCTACAGTAGAGCACCGTTGGCGTTGGGGTGCACTGGGTTTGCTCCTTCTGCCTTTCTGCTGCAGTTTCTATGTTGCTGATCACCTGGCAGACTCACAGTCCACAGGCTCTTATTTTAGATGTTTTCAAGGAAAAAATGCTTATGCTCTATGCATTCTTATTCACGTTACAGTCTGGGGGGCTGGTGGCTCAAGCACAGGTCCACAGAAGTTACAGGACACTTGGACACCTTCAGGATACCTGCTGTTTTCATGGTGTTTGACTGTTTGTTTTGCTTTCTTCCTCTCTTTTCTTCTCCCCTAACAGGCTGTCTCGGAGTCTGACCTGAAAAACAACCGGGCCTTAGATGAGCTGGTAAAGAGCTTCAGTTCTGCAAGGTATGCTGCAGTCTTATGAATACTGTCTCTAGTTTGGCAGTCCAAAGGGAGGTTTGGCTTAGGGTGTTGTAATGGAATATTGTGCTTTCACCTTCTTTTCTGTTTGATTTGGTTCACTTTTGATCTCATCCCCTTAAAAGAAGCACAAAATCAATGTGACATGGTAGGTGCATCCTGCAGATGTGTGAGCTCTGCTTGCTTTTGCCTGGAGACAGCTCTGTGACTGCTCTGTTTTCTGCAGGGATTCCTACAGCTATGGAAGATGCATGATAGGGCACTTTTTACTGAAATAAATCTGGAGATTTAAATCACTGGGATTCTTGGCTTCGTAAGCAACAGGAAGCATAGTCCTTATGGCTTTGTTTCTTAAGGGAGTTTCTGTGTGACAAGGAACTAATCTTTTGTATGACTGCTATTAGATTTAATTGATCTTATTCCAAGAATTGAGATTCTGCAGTTCCAATATTTTAGCTGGAACTCTGACTTCAGTGTTTCTTGCTGATAAGTGGATTACTGTATTTTGGTAACATCTAATTTCATAGGGAACAGGTAGTGCTGACTTGGATCCATTATGATAATGAATCTTAACCGTTAATTTTTTGGACTGCTTTAATGGATCGGTATAAATCTTAGCAGAGCTAAGATCAATAACCTTTCCTTCTGTGACTCGGAGGTCGATCAATTTCTCAACGTGAAGTTGAATCAATAAGCCTGAAGGGGTGCTGGTGTCCTGCTCCTCACCTGGGGCGAGCTGTGGGAGCAGAGCTGCTCTGGGTCTCGCTGAGAAATGCCTGATGGTGAACGGCTGACAGAGGTGCCTGCTGAAGTGAAACGGAACAGGAATGCAGACAGCAAGCAAACTTTGCACCGCTTCAGATGCCGGGCACCCTGCGTTGTTCTCTCGTAGCCTGGCACTGCATTTGCTGTGAGTTAGGGGCTGCTTGGTGCAGAATGCTGTGTGCTGCTATCCGTAGCATTTTCTGCCTAGGTGTGCTGTACAGGACGTGTCTTCTGGCTCCCTTCCCCTGCTTCTGTTTCCCTTTGGCCCGCCCTGAAACAAATCCAAACTCCAGGATCTGATTTTTGAAACGTGAAGTTCTTAAAGTGCGTCGTGCCTTGACTTTGAGCCTCGGGTAATTCAGCAGTTGTGAAAATTAGGCATTAAGGCTTTTCAGTATTTCAAAAAATGCAAATACGTTTTGAAGTCAGGCCTGTAGGGAAAGGAAATGCTAATGCTTGAGTAGTTAGCGAAGTCAAAGCTGTGCTCCAAGGTCAGCGTGTGCGTGGGAATGGAAACGGTTCTCAATAGAGCCGAGTGCTGATCCCGCCGATCCGCGCTCAGTGTGTTTGCAGAGCTGCAGCTGTGGCCATGGGCTGCGCTCAGCGCTGCTGCCTTCGCGCTGTGCTCGTGAAGGAGCCGAGCAGCGCATGAGGGAAGGGAGCGCCGCGCTCTCACCTGCACCCTGCAGCTCCTGCTGGGGACCAAGAGCGCCCTGCTCCCTTGGCTTGTCGTGCGGTGCTTCGTGCGCAGGGTTTCTCAGCCCTTGGCATGGCAGTGCTACGTGTGCCGCCTCTCCTTTATGAACGGAGTTTTTATCAGGCGCGGTGTGCCAGGATGAATGTCCGCTCACAGCTAAACTGAAGTAACTGCAGCTGCTTGCCCAGCCCAAATATCTGTTGAAAAGGATGGGGGACAGAGGGGCTTTTGGGTTTTACAGCGAGCGTAAGGACACACTGACATCTTGCGCGTTCGTGTTTCACCGTTGAGAAGGCATCCAGTGCAGTTAAACAGGTTTGTCAGCTATGACGCATGTGTTGCTTTTGTGCCAGTGTAGTAAAACTTTATCGGCTACAACCTCTCCAAGCTGCCAGTAGTCTGTGTTAAATTCCTAAGAGCACAGAGTACATAACCTAAGTGGAAGTAACTGGAAAAAACCATGCAAAGTGAGAAGCTCTCTGAAAGACACACTGTGCTAACATTCATCGCCTGAATCGATCTGTAGGTGAGCTGCATATCTGTGGTGACAATTCTGGCTGTCTCTGTGCAAGTGTTAGCTATTGCATTCAGAGAGAGGTGCTCGTACACCAGGGCTCTGTCCTATGGCTCTCACACCACTGTCCCCCAGCTCAGGAGCCTGTCCCTTGGCATGGGTGCTGAGCTTTCCTGAGGGACAGCATTGCGTGGCGCAGAGCCCTCTTCAGAGGATCCAGGTGCTGTGAGCAGTGGTGGTGTGGTGTGTCCTGAGAGAGAAATGTGGTGAAACGGTGAATCAGGGGAAAGCCTTGCAAAAAGAGGCTGATGTGAATCTTGAATTCTACGGGTGCTGTCAGGCAGTGTGAGTACATGGTGATACGTGCCAGCTAAGGAGTATATGCTGGGAGAAAATCAACAGCAGTATCTGATAGGTGCAGGTACAGCCTGTGTTACTCTGACAGGAGGAGAAGCTCTCAAAGCAGTAGAAAATGCACTGAAAAGATGAGCTGTTTGCCCATCTACCTGAATGGTTGGCTGCTGTGTGGAAACCTGGGAAGTCAGAAGAAATCACCATTCTTGCATTTCTATTGTTGTGTCAGCTCCTCTGCGGCTGCAGTTGTAACCTGTAGGCTGAAGAATGTTGTGCATTTATCTGCAGCAGGTGAGATGCTTAATAATGCCTGTTATTGCTGCTGATGGCCCTGGGCAGCAGTGCTGTGTCAAATGATGCTTTAGGATGAAATGTAGCCCTTGTCAATAGCAAATGTGAAGCAGAGCTGGGACAGGGTTGTGTAAAGGGACTCTGTTCATGTTCCCATTTAGCTGGCTCCTGAGTTTCCCGTGAAGTTGATCCTATGACAACAGTGGCTACTCCACTCTATATTTGCATCAGCTGGGGAATTAACCTCCTGAAAAACTTCCAGTCCATATCTAGGCATGTGCAGACAGAAGAACATAGTTTTGCTGCCACGCTTAATTGTGCTTGTTTGTACTGTAAAAAGTCACAGTGCCTTGGGACGCATGAGAATTGCTACTGACAAATGTGCTCATTGCATAGGGTAATCCAGGAAGCTTGAACTCCAGGCTGGGCTTTGAGTCTAGCTCAAATATAACTGCACAGAATGCTAAGTGTGCTGAGCTCCGTGCTCTATTTATTCACTAGAAACTGATCTTAAAGCAGTGTGACTGTGGGCTCACCCACTGACTTAGGTACCTTCTCAAAGCATTCAAAGATATGTATTAATTAGTTCTTCCCAGATGTGTGGTGAATCTGTACCTTAAAAGACTGGTGAGTTTTCCAAGTAGTTACCTAACACTGAAACGTCTTCAGCTGTGCAATCATAAAGCACACCTACATTTCATTCTTATTATGGGCAAGAAGCAGTTTAATGGCAGTGCTTGTTCCAAAGCCGTGTCACCGAGTGTCTCTTGCTTTTTTTGCAGAAAATGAACAGTAATCCAAATTATGTCAACTCTTATTTATTCTTTCTGAGTTAAAAACTTTGCAAATTGAAAATCTAGAGCTGTGTGTCTCAGGGGCAATCCTTTCTGTTCTGTGAATGCTGCAGGAGTGCCATGTTGCTGCTGTGCTGGTTTGCGCTCCTTTCTCTTCAGCTCGGCATGCTGGCTAAGTGCAGGGATAGCTTGAAACAGCTGATGTCTGACCAGCACCTTGTGCTGTGTTTATGTCAGAACAGGGAGGCCGTATACCAGAAAGCTGTATGGTTTGGGGCCTTGAGGGGAGGCATAGAAATGAAACTCCACTCCCCCAGCTGCTCTCTTTTCACAGGCTTTGTCACCTCAGGGGGAGAGAATCGTCAAAATCCAAGCTGTCAGGTCACGGTGCTTAAATGAAAAGCATGCACTTACTGAGCAGCAGCTGTAGCAAAAATGCGCAGAAGGTACCTTGTACTTGAGGAGGTCGGTGTGCTGTGGATGTGGAAGGCTTTGTGGTGTTACAGGCTTGCTGTGCTCTTTTGGGCTCATACACGTGTTGAGGGATAGCAGGCACGCTGTGCGGCTCTGGCAGCGCGGCGGCTTGTTTCTGGGAGGAGATGGCATCGTGCTGATGGCCCTGCCCTGAACACAGCCCTGTCCTGCTGCTCTGTAGTGCAGGGTGCACGGCAAGGTGGGGGCCCTGAGGTGCCCGAGTGCAGTGCTGCTGTTGGCAGTGGCTCCTGGACTCCTCAGTGTCCTCAGAAGCTGCCCCTTCTTCCTGCTCCTCCCGCCTCGTTACCCTGCTGTAAAGAGGATCAGGGGAGGCTCTGCCCACCTCGTGGGGACAGAACAGCTTGGGGCAGGGAGGGCAGGTGTGCAGGCACTGCTGCATGGGGAGCTCAGCAGGAGGGTTGTGTGCAGGCTGTGTGAGAGGGCAGCAGGACATGAGAGGGGACCAGGTGAGGGGCTGCACAGGTTCTTCTGCTGGCTCCTGTGTGTGGGTGATGTGAGCTGCTCTGTGCCTCAGGGCGTGCGCCTTGTTAAAGCAGCCCCTAAGCGTGGTACCTGTGGTGGTCTTCTCACTCCAGCTACAGAAACAGTGGAGTGTGTGTTCCTGTTGTCTCATCGTCACTGAGGTGTGTAGGTGGGGTTACCTAACGCTTGGTCTCAGGAGCTGACGGGTGTTTGGTTATTGCTTTGGTGGGTGCCTGTTGGGCTGTGCTCTGGAGATCCCCAGCAGGAGGGGACAAAGAACACAGAAACTTTCTGGTACGCCTTTGCCTCAGCTGACCCAGTGCTTGGAGCGCTGTCCTGAAAGCAGTTATCTACAACTCTCAAGTAAGAGGGAGAACTTGTTCTTTGCGTTCCGTGTGATATGTTGATGCTTATTTTATAACATTTGCAAAATGAAATGTAATTTGTTTTGTTTATAAACTGGGAAACTGATTTTTGCAATCTGTAGAGCGTGGTAACGCTGAACTGGGATGCTCCTGGTTTGTGTGGGCGAGATGATTCCCAAGTGCTTCGTGTTAGCAACTGCTCAGAGAGGAAGGAATGGAGGAAAAACTCCAGCTGTTTTCTGTTTTCAGAGAAAGAGCTAACAGAACTGTTAGATGTAGCTAACAGTTGTCTTCTGGACGCTTCCAGGCAACAGCTGGTCCAGTTGGTCTTGGATACACCACTGATTTCATCTCCATTGGCTTGTAGTAGGCGTGCAATTGGCAAAAGCCACGCCAAGACTTCCGCGTCTTCGCCAGTTGTGAAAGAAGAGGTGCCAGTGATTGACAGTTTGTTGAAAAAGGAGAATGTTTGTACCCTGACAAAGACAGATGGTCTGGCAGGAACAGATTGGAAAGTTTGCAAAACCGAGGAACATCGTAACATCAGCAGCAGTTCTCCAGAGGCTGCTAGCAGAGACAACAAAGCAGGACCACGAGGGAGTCCTGAAGGCACCAACAGTGGTGAGAAGCCTTCTACATCTGTGGTAAAAATAGTCAACAAAGGTGAGATACTGAATTTTTGCTTTTGTTCTGATCACTTCCCCACGTCTGTGGTTGCATCTGGCGGAGCGCGTCAGTCTGTGGCATCCATCTCCTGCACTGTTCTGATCTGCAATTAGAGCGTTGGCGTGCTCAGATGCTTCCTGTCTAACTGGGTTGTGCTTCATTCACATTATTGCTACAAGCATGTTCTTGATGAGGAAATTTGGGCTGATACAAAGTAATTAAACCGAGTTGGACTCTTACAGATTCCTTTGTATTGAATAACAACTCTTAAAAACAATGGTTGCACAACAAATTTACTCAGTAAAAAGTGAAGTCATTTTCTCTTCCCTTTCACGAGCAGACAGACACTGATGTTTGTTGTTCTTGCTTATCCTCAGTAACCAGAAGCAAAGTATTTCATCATGTTCGTCATTTGAGGGTGCACCCACAACCAAACTGATCATGGTTTCAGTTTTGTTGATGTTCCTATCTATAGACTCTCTACAAGTATTCTCCTTTATATTCTGTAATCTTGCAGTGTTAAGATTAATGAACTGAAGCATGAAAATGTTCATTTATACTAATCAACTACAACAAAATTGGCAGTGTCTTCATAAATAAATATCGTGGCAGGCAGCTTGTCCATTAGAAGCCTTAGAGAATCCTAGGATGGTCCTGAGTTGGAGGGGGCCGGTGTGCAGCTGGTTGGAGCAAAGCACTCAGACCTAATAGTTTGTATTTTTTATTCTTTTAGCAATTTATTTGACTGGGACCTGGAAGTTCATATTTATTCATTAGCCAGGTAAATACTGCTTAAAATATAACACAGCTAGAAAAGTAGCTGCAGGAAAATAATGTCAACTTAGCCAGCTGGTATGTGTTCTAGTTCTATGCATCAGACTTGCTCGTATTAGTAATTTACAACTAATATAAGATTTTACCTCGTTTATTCTTAAGGAATTGAATTTTTCACTTGCTGACTGTTTTATGGCCTTAGTAAGTCCTCGAGGATGTGTTGCACAGAAATTGCTTCCACAAGTGCAAAGTAGTTGGTCAAGGAACAGAAAGGAGAAACTCAAAGAGGCAGTGCTGAAGTTCTCCTTGTGAGGATGACTGATTGCTGTGTTAACAGCTGAAATGCTGTACTCAATAAAGTAACAGGCTGCTGATAACTATCGTGTTAATGTAACTGTCCTAATTAGTTGTAAGTCAGGAATTGCAAAGCAGTATTGTCAGTGAACTCTGAATTCCTACAGCATTTCATGGTATTCTTGCTATTGTGTTTTGCTTTGTTTTCTGAATCCAACTTGACTTTCCTCGTGATAATACAGAGGATAATGGGAAAAGAATCCATCTCATCCTGTTCATTTGAGGTTAGCTTTTTGTGTCTGACAGCGTCTAGGATGTAATTGCCAAAGGCAGACGTTGTTTTTGAGTGTCTTTGCAAGTGGCCTGCAGAGGTATTTCTTGCTTATCTGATGCAGGAAGAGTTGTGACACGGGGGGGACTCTGTTGCAGGGGTTTGTGAGTCTCCAAGCAGAAATCATGTTACTTTAGAGGTGCTTCTGAAAAAATGACACGTGGTTGGGTCATAGGATTCCTGTTAGGTTTCCAACTCATGTGCTGGCATGATGGCGAGACGCATGGATGAGGACACAGTGTTAACATGCACAGATTCCTGCTTTACTGCCCTATTGAAATAAAGGAAAGTGAAACGTTGCAAAAATGAAAGGCATTATCACAAAGATATGCTGATGTTTGTATCAGTCCTGAAGTTTCTTTGTACTGTGTGTATTATTCTACGATTTTACTACAGTTTTCGTGCCCTCCAGCTGCAGGGAGGAAGGTGAGATGCTTTCTGATGGTACATAGAATGGGGAGTATGAGTGCTCTGAAGATAAGTGCTAAAAGGGAAGGTTCCACGTAGATCTGCCTTCTTATTAAAGAACATAAAACCAAACTTGCAATTCTGGATTTTCATTTTACTCAACAGTTTTTCAGCTTGATTTTGGCTGAGACGTATGCAGCAGTAAAAGCACTCTCCCTTTCTTTCAGTGGACTGCCCTGTTTGTGGAGTTGCTATTCCAGAGGCATACATCAACAAACACCTGGATAGCTGCCTGAGCAGGGAGGAAAAGAAGGACCGCCTGAGGAGGTAGGAGAGGGCTGAGCCTCCTGTGAGCACCTGGAGTCCTCTGCACTGCAGAGCCCACAGCAGTTGCTGGGCTGCAGAGCAGGGCGTCGTGCTTCCCTTGCTTACTGTCAGTCTGAAGCTGCTGCATTTGTGTTGTCGCAGTGATCTGCCTCTTTCAAAGCAGCGTTGTGGATAACCAGAATTGGTGGTGGGTTTTGTTTGTTCTGTTTGTTTTAGTTTTAGGTAAGAAAACACTGAGTGCTGTTTTAAGGAATTTGACATAGGTTGTAAAACTTTGGACGTCGTTGTCATCGGATTCCCATCCATTAGCATTACGATTTTATTTTGTGACACTTCTTCCCATTTTTCATCTGGTGAATGACTTGTTTCCTCCGAGTCAGATGGGCCAAAAGAGAATTGCTTCACTACTTGTCAAGTCAAAAATAACAACTGTACCTTCCTCTGCTCGCTGTAGTTATCTTCAAATTACTCAGGTTAAGGTCTTTTCTTTTAAGATGTTAAATTTCATAAGGTTCATGCATGTCTTCCTATTTAAGCATCCACCCTAGAGTTTGTTATAGCTGCCACATTCACATCAGAAGTGCAACCTTTAGTCTTTGTTACTAACATAAACATAGGCTGCTGTGGTTCACTGATCAGACTTGACAGCTGTGAGGAACTCTTACTGTGTGCAGTTTGATCCAGGTCCTATGAGCCTTAAATTAGGAAGTAACTTTGTTAGAGCTCTGAATTTGCTCAGTCATGCTGAGATTGCAATCCAGAAGCTAGAGAGTTCTGAAGATGAATAAGTGGTAAACTAATACGGGAATCTGATGTTACGTTTTAATTTTCATTTGGGATGTTTTTACTGTTTCCACTGTTCCTAATGAATGAGAATAAAAGCCAGATCTCTGTTTGGTATCAAGCCCGCATCCCTAATAGAATTTTAAATTTTGCTTGTTTTGTCTAGACTGCTTGGGATTTAGGAAAGTATAATGCAAGATAGTGTTCCTAGGGGATGCCCTGAAAGAATACAAGTCAGCATTTGGATTCCTGGTAGAAGTATTAATTAAAAAAAGGGTTGTTTTCTTTCTCCTTTGCAGTTCAGCTCACAAAAGGAAGCCTATGCCTAAAGTTGTTTACAACTTGCTCTCTGATCGTGACTTGAAGAGGAAGCTGAAGGAGCAAGGACTGTCTTCCCGTGGGAGCCGTCAGCAGCTCGTTAAAAGGCACCAAGAATTTGTGCACATGTATAATGCTCAGTGTGATTCTCTACATCCCAAATCGGGTAAGTTAGAAATACTAGGAAAGTTTGTATCATCGCAGGCTCTTTGCATGCGTTTGTGTTGCCTGGCTGTGCATGCAGTGGGGCCATTTCTTGCATCTTGAATGGCTCTTGCTATATTCCATTTATACAAGAAGAGAATATGCTTCTCTTTAAAGATGGCGTTTGTCATCTCTCAGCTGTGCAAGTGATAGCAGTAATGGCGCAAAGACACAGACGTGTGTGAGAGACTTGGGATTTCTGGCTGTACTGCTCTGTATCTGACTGGAAGCTGATGGCAGGCAGCCCTTTGGAAGCAGTCTCTGGCAGGACCAGCTGTGAAGCAGCTCTCTGGAGCAGTGCAGCACTCAGGCTGGTTGCTGGCAGTGCTCAGCCTGCTGCTGGCAGCACAGCCCAGGTGTGTGGCTGGGGAATGACGTCCCTCACCCCATAGCTGATCCCTTTTCTCTTCGTGTTTACAGCGAGGTCCTGATGCGTGTTCACTGCTTCTTCCAGAAGCTGTCGATGCATCTGTGTGCGTTCAGTGCTCCCAGTAGCTGGGATGGGTGGGCTTGGCCTCGTTGGTGTGGGCAAGGGGTGTATGTAGGGGTTGGGGTGGCACCCCCAATGTTCACATTCACTGTGTGCTGCTCATCCACAGCAGGGATGTCTAGGGTTAGCAGCACTGCGCTGCCAGGCTGGAGCCTTGTGCCTGCTCTGAGGTGCTGGGGCAGGAGCTCTGCCATGCACAGGGCCCTCTGTTGGCTGTGTTGGCATGCGGGGGGCTGCTGCTCTCTTGTAGCAGTTCTTCACTCAGTGCTTGTAATGAAGCATCTCATAACCCCTATGCATACAGTTCATCTGAGCTAGCTAATGAAGAGTTCCACAGGGCACTGCAGGGTGCTTCAACTGGGATCACTTAAGTAATGCAAAGCTTTTATGGAGTTCTGGCTCAGTGACTATTTATGAAGGGTGAACTATTAAACCAGCTCACACAGGCATGCATTTTCAGTGGTAGCAGTGAACCAAAGGTCACTATAAAATACAAATTGTTGAGCTTCTGTGGAAGCAGAGGTGCCAAATTCCTGGATTTTGCCTAAACCAGTTTTAAGCAGGTTTTATTCCTTCACAGCTCAATAAGCTTCTTGTTCTCAGGCTGCTTCACTAGTGCAAGTATTTGTTTTAGTAATCTGCATAGCTACCTCAAAGCTCTGTGACAATGATTAAGGGTAGAAACATGTCTGTAAAAGTAAATGTCAAAACAAACCCTGCAGACAGTGCTGTGCCTGTTTGTGTGCTGCTGAGGTGTCTGACTTAATGGTTGGAGGCTGTAATCCATCCCTGGACTATGGGTTTTGGACAGAAGCCTGCAGACAGCTCCGCACTGCCTCGGAGGAGCTGCTAGGAGGGAAAAGTAAGATAAGCAGTGTGTTTCATTATTTCAACTTCCACTTAAAGATACACTATAGAATGAGAACTTATAAACAGCATGCCTTTATGTCTCGGAGACAGCATAGTGTGGTAGAGAAAGATTCAGACATGGTTCAAAAAGACTGCATATTTCTATTAATTTAACCCAAAGGAAATGAAACAAGGGCTGTGGCCGTGGCGGAGCAATGCTGGCTGCCAGTGGATGTGAATTTGAAGCTGAGCACCGATCGTGCGTGCGGCTCGAGGAGGAGCGGGCACTGCTGGGAGCTGCTGGCTTTGTCTCTCTGATTTGTTAGCAGCCGTTTTGTTCAGTGCTGCTGCTGCATCCCTAACAAGTCCTGTCTAACGATCCGTTTCTTGTGTTTTCAAACAGTTGCAGAGATTGTTAAAGAGCTGGAAAAGAATGAGAAGATTCGGGTTCAGCTTGAACTGAATAAAAGCGGTGAAAACGTAAGCTGACTGTCCTTGTTCCTAAATTGAGGGACAGGAGAAACTGCAGTGTGGGCACTCAGTGTGTCTGCCTGTCACTTTGTTATGGCAACTGCCAGAACTCTGGGCTGCATGTTGGACTTGGCGTGTACCATCTTGTAACTTGCTTGATTTTTCTCTTATCAGTCATTTGTCACGGGCAGTTCTTAGTATAGCTGATATCTCTATGTCCAAACTGTTTAAGTAAGAGAACTTTTTTTCTGATTGCAATAAAAATTCTGAAGTAATGTTCCCCTTGGATGTATTGGAAGACTTTGACCCTCCGTGGTAGTGTGGGGAATATTTGGCTTTCTAGAATTCTCTAGGATTTATCTAGCACATTCCTTGCTTCCCTATTAGCAGTAGTGCCTGTTCTTTTCCCATGACATATGATACTTTTGTGACTTTTGGTGCACGTTTATTGTCCAGGATTAGGGAGAACTTCATGGCCCACACATGCCGGGTGTTACCCAGGGTATTTTGGTTTAGTGCTTTGTCTTTGTGAAAGCAAAGCAAGACAGCGTGTACTTTAAACATGTGTTACGTCTGTGGATGGGACACTAGGAGCTGGTGTGAGAACACTGAATGTGTGAGCCTTCCCCCAGTTAGTTTTTAGTTGTAAACTGTGCAGCTTTATCAACTTTTTCTCTTAGTAAATAAACATTTGTGTGATTTCTGTAGAGCCTGACCTTTACAAAGGACCAGACAGAGGAGGAAATAGATGAGATTCACACCAGTTATCGTGAGTAAAATCCAGGTTTCACTCCATTTTCCTCATGAGCTATCTTTTAAAAAACAAAACAAAACAAAAAAAAACAACCACCAAACCACCACCAAAACCCTTTTGTCTGTTCTTGGAGCCATCTAAGCAGCTTAGTCGTTTTTAGGCTCAGTTTAGAAGCAAAGGTTCTGAGAGTTCTATTGCAAGACTTCACCTGCACTCCTGGAAGTGGTGGCTACCATGGGACAGGAGAACAGCATTCAGCACAGATGGGGCTTCTCAGCTTTTGCCATGGAGGAGCAAAGCACTGAAGGGACAACTTGTTCTGGTGATACTTAGGGGTGTATTTAAATCTGCAATATGGTCACATTTCTCTTGTTTCCTTGTGTTCTTCTCTTGCTTCGGGCGTATAAATTATGCCATATTGCAGCTAGATTTAGCTTTGTTGATTTTAGTTGGGTTTCTGTAAAGGCTAAATAAGGGCCTAGATCTTTAGCAATTTTTTCCCCTTGCTTTTTGCTTCTATTCCTGAGAATTTTTTTTTTCCAGCTGTACATGCACTGTTTGTGGTTTTGAATCATTCTCTTCTAATTTCAAGTAACTGGTTCATAATTGCTTTCTTGCCTTGCAGAAATCTCTAGCAATATAATAAAAGCAAAACAAAAAACGCCAATCTAACCAATGACAGAAACAAACAACTTCCCAAACAAACAACAAAAAAAACTCCCCATGAACTTACTAATCCCTCAGTGGGGTATCTTTCCCCAGGAAGCTTAAACAGCTCTTAAGAGCAAACCCAAAGCACAGTGCTTGATAGCCCTGGAGCAGCTGCCATCAGTGTTCCACTCGCTGCTGCCTTATGGGGTATAACCAGCACTGTTGTCCTGGTCAGGAGCCACCTTCTTCCCTGGGAGCTCAGCAATGGCACTGCGATGCTCCCTCCCATCCCCAGGGTCACCTCCTGCTTTCCTTATGGCCAAGCTTCTATTTCAAGCTTTGAAAAAGAAAAAAAAAATGCATAGGAAAAAAATGTAATCTGCTGTGCCCTCTAAGTCTTTTAATTTACACTTGGATTCAGACACTCGGTGATTTATTGTCTGGTGTTTGAAATATTTGTAATTATGTCTGCAATTGTTTTTATTACTGAAATACCCATGGTTTTACGAGCTGTACGTGGTACGTAGCTTCAGCACAGCTGTGATTTATGTTGCATCTGAGCACTGCCCTGTATTGGCAGGACACTTATTGTGATGTGAAGACCTTTGTAGATGCAGCATGAAACAAAACAACAAAAAATAGTAACACTGGAAAAACTGAAGCACCAAAGGGATTATGTAATAAATATGCCATGCTTCACATACAAGCATCTTGGGCAGGAACTTTTTTTTTTTTTACTACGAGGAGTTGTTGACCTTATGTGGAGTCTTCAGCTCTACCAGGCGTGAGTAAGCTCTAAACAAAACATGAGAAAAGTATTTCAGATGTGTTTCCTTGTGTGGAACAGAACCTGACAGGAGGTGTTGGGGAGAGGCCAGGCCCGGCCTGAGGTGGGAGCTGTGGGAGCTCCCCCAGCCCTCAGCTTGCCACAGGCTGAGGATGCACATTGGTTTGGTGCTTGTTCTGTATGCTGGGGTTCTTCCTGGTCCATAAACACAGCCTTAGGTGCAATGCTAAGTCCCAGCTAGAAGCAGTGGTGGAGCACCTGGTGGAAGGCAGGGCCAGCCCAGAGGAGCTCAGGTGCGTGTAGTGTACCCAAGTGACTGGAAGAGTGGAGCCAGGATCCACCCCTTCCCAGACCTCTTTTAAGGGTTGGCAGTGGAGGTGAGGGCATCTCTAGAGATCCCTGTGTACCTGAGGCCTTCTGAAGATAAGCAACTTCTTTGTTTTATTTCTGTGCCCTCTTCTTTTGCATTTGAGCAAAACCTTACTTGCTGCTCTGCTGTCATTGTTGTGCTTACCATCTTGTTATAGTGGAATTACTTTACTGCAGAAATGGGAAAATCCATGCTCTTTCTCTCTAGTTGGGATGCTGCCCCCTGCTGTGAGGTGATAAAACAAGAGGCTGCCAACCAGGCTACAAAGATGGGGCTGATAGCCTCGATTAGCTTCTGTTAGGTCGTTTGGGAAAGTGCGCCTTGGCAACACACGGCTTCCCTGGGGCTTGTTGTCAGTAAGGTCAGTCTCAAAAAGCAGAGAACTGGGAATTGCATTTGGAAGGTAAATCAGCACAGAATAGGAGATGTCACTGTTTCTGCAGCTGGTTACTTGCACTTTCTGTTGAGCTGTTCAGGCACCAAGGTTCTGTTTTCCCTTGGCAAAATGCTGTGCAGCCCTTTGTGCATTTAGAGCTGATGGGTTTTTGTAAGGTGTTTGTGCATTTAGATTTTCTGAGCAGCACAAGTGAAAAATGCCCTCTGAAGGGCTAATTATTCCACTGAGTAATGCAGCCTCTCCATCTAATTCAGGAGAGAGGTTATGAATGAATGCAGTGCTACAGTATTCAGAAGGAGCTTGAAATCTTCTCGTGTTACAGGCTGTTACAGTGACAATTGCAGTACTTAATGGGTTTAGTAAAACAAACAAACAGAAACGGGTTATGTTAAGAGGAAACAAACAGTTTTATTCTGCAAAAACTAAGGTGTTTTTTTTATGCAACTGTCTTGGCTGCTGGGCAACCCTGAAAGCATAAACATGGATTTGGGTTGTTGACAGAATATGGAACGCTGCAATGCGGAGTGAATTTTTGTTTGCTGTAACAAAAACGTTTTTGATTCAGTATTTTGTGTTTATTTCATGTTCTTTTCACTTGTTTATGGTATGCCTTAGGAGTTCTGTGGCACAGGTCTGCCTGCTTGTTGTACAGCAATGCACTTTTATGTTCCAGGAAACAAACACAGAAGCGAATTTCAATTTTTAGTGGATCAAGTAAAAAATCGGTGGGAGAAAAGTGGTAAGAGGAAAACAGAAAGCACACAAAAGAAAAAAGAAGGCACTTTCATAGGATTACCAGCAGGCACAGGTTAGTGATGCCTTTTAACATAATCCCTCTCCACCTTCCTGCCTCCCATGCTGATCAGTGCATTTCCCAGAGAAATGTTCTTTCCTCCCCTCCTACAGTTCTTAACCATAAAACAAATGAACACAAATCCCAAACAAACATAGAAATCAAGCAGAGCTTAAAGAAATGGGCTGCCATTGTGCTTAAGAATCAGACTAGAATCAACTTGTAATAAATGTGCAATGTGTTTGATTTTAATGACTGTGTACACGTGTACTGTATCAGATGCATATTTGAACTAGCTGTTTAAATGGGGCCTTAGGTTCTGAGCCACACGTACCAAGTTAGTAATGGGCATGTGATGGTAGGCATCGTGGAAATGAAGGTGCTTGTGGGTATTACCTGCTTTGCTCTATTGGTGTGATAAGGAGTCAGTAACAGAGAACTGTGGGCATGTTTGGACTGGGACAAGTGTTTTTCTCGTCCTGAGGTTGAAGGAGTGAAGTACTTCAGCTTCTTCTAGAATGTTTATACAGTACATTGCCTCTCTTTTTAAGCTGCTTCGTTTTGTATTCATACCCTTCAGCACAGTGAGAAGTGGGAATGCACAGCTGCAGTCACTCAGTTCTGCAGATATGCTTGGAGTTAGGAGCAGCATCCAGCCTATGTTTGTTGTCCTCACTGATGCCCACAGCATCAGAGAAACACCTCTGTGTGCTTTTAACTTGTTCCTTGTAGTTTTGTTCGGTCTCATTTGTTTTATGGTATTGTTTGCTGTGGCAGCGTGCAGTTAATCTTTGAATGTGTGCTTTGGAAAAGCAGTCCTTGGCCTAATATCTGTGGAATTGCAGCGTGTTCAGGATGCTGAATTTCAGAGAGCATTCCATTGGATGTGCTGATGTCTGTAACCTTGGGGAAGTACGGCAGTTCAGCTGGTAGCAGCCCTCGCACGTCCTGTGCTGCCCAAGTTGAGCTGCGTTCATCTCTGGTGTGAGGCTGTGTCCTGTGCTTCACCTCCAGCAGAGAATAAAAAGAAATGGAACTATCAGTGGAGTAGTATGAATTCGATCCTTATCGTTCCATGCAGATCTTGATGCAATGTGTAAACCTTTCCCTGCGAAGGGTGAAAGGTAAGGAATCTCAAGGATGAAGTTTGCCTCATTTGGTGTAACTTGTAACTACAGCAGAGACAGGAGCAATGTGCTATTAGATAATGGGATCACAGACTGAAATCTTAATTTCTCGCTATGATCAGTGCAGAGTTTGGTTCTGTGAGTTACCTTTTCATTGTGCCCTGAACTGCAGGCTTTGAGAAGCTAAGTGAAGCCATGCAGCTTTTCCAAAAGATAAAATAGGAGGAAATACCTGAAAAAATTTTCAGGTAGAAAATAGCTTGCAAGAGTTGTATCATCCTGTATCATGCTGACTTAAGATGATGATGCCCCTTCATCTGGTTCTGACAAATCTTCAAGACACTCGTTACTCTTGTTGTGCACTCTGTGATCTTTAAAATGTTGCATGCAAGCAATCCTCGAAATTAGTTTCCCTTTTTGTGCTGATCAGATGAACCCAGTTGGCTGCTTATAAGCCACCAAGGAAAGCATGAAGACTTAGGGGTGAAGGAACATAAGGCTAAGGCCTTTTCTTCCTCTGTGTTTTTTATTAACAGCACGTACCTTTTTATTAAATTGGAGATTGCAACACTGAAAGAAAGAAAACCAGCACTGGTTTGATGACTTGCCATTTGAAAACATTGCTTCCAAGAAGAGCAAAGGCTTTGTATGCATTCCTTACCCAATTATTTGGAGTTAAGAGGTAGATGGTAATCCTGGAACTATGCAGAGTTAAAACATTCTTTTTAAAACCTTAATATCTCCCATTGCCCCTAACTGTAGTATTGATGGATGTAGCTTATATCTCTGTTAAAATCTTGCTTTGTTGCAGTGACTTTAACATCCCTTCCTATTCACATGATCTTGTTTTACATCTTCAAACTTTAAAAATAATAATAATAATACTTTCCAGTCTGCTTTTATAACTGATAAATGTAGGATTTTACACTGCCTAGCAGAAGCACCATAAGAAATTGATAAATACTTTGATGTGTCTATTTTGAGCTGTATTATTATACTGGGCCTTTATTTTTAATCTCCTGATGTCAGTAATGCTGCATTAGTTAGACAGCTGACTCACTGTAATCTGCTGGTTGTTTTCAACTGACAGAAATATGCTCCTAACAATTAAATATGCCCTTTAGCACAGGGGAAAGGCAAACCCTGGCTGAATTTATAGATTGTGTAGCTATTCCACATTGTTGCTATAGTTCTGTTTGGCCAACACTGTCAGAACACTTTGTAGAGGTACAAAAGTGGAAGTGGTTTGAGTAGAAATATAACTTGGGTGGTGTGGGCGCAGAGAACAACTCTGAACTGCCTTAATGAGAATTATTAATGAGATGAGTCTCAACATGGCTTTAATATCCCTTGCAACTTCCTGGTTAAATAAAGGACTTGTGGGCAGAACGTAAAAGCAAGTTTTCTGTTTGTATCCCACTTCCTAGTCCGTATTCTCTATGTATGTAGAGAGGTAGGAGGCATGTCTTGAGAGGACTGTACATCTTCTAATAGATAAAAATATTTGATAGGAAAATAATAGAATGGCTTCACAGTTTGTTTCTGTTGTCTAGAAATGTTCCTTCCTATAAAGATAAATGGAAATACCAATGATCTAGACTGACATTTCATCTTTCTTGCATGCATAAGGAAATAAATCATTATGTTTCTTTTATTGAAAACAAGCCTATTATCTTGATCTGTGAAACTCTGAAGCTATCAAGATGTCTTATGCAATGAGCAGAGTGAATTGGTTGCAAGGATGGAGAACGGGGCTGTCTCGTTAAGTGTTTGCTAATTTCTGAGATGTGACAAATAACCTTACCCTTTATTGCTCTCCTTGTTTTTATTTGGAACTCATAACAAGGGAATATTTCTGATTCAGGCTCTGGTTCTTAGAGGCTATTTGTTGTCGCTGTTTTTTTGTTGCTGTTGGTGATGGTTCTTTTTCTGCCACAGTTTAAAAAAAAAAAAAAATTAAACCTTTGAAATCGTAAGAGTTTGGGAAGTGAGTGGGAATGAGGCATCAGTATTCAAATGCTCAAAACCTGTTGTTGTTCTTAAAATCTGTCTTCAGGCAGCAAAAAATTAAGCAATATTGTTTTTCTTGATAGGGGAAGATCCTGAAGAGCATCACTCAGCTGCAGCCCTTGGAGAAGCCCAGGTTCTCGAACCAGGAACTCCTGATGGCAAAAGTGACCCTCGTTCCCCAGAGGAAGGGCAGGGCTCGGTCTCCCTTGCTTTCTCAGAGTCATCTGGATCATCGAGCAGGTCAGCACAGGAGAGCCTGTTCTCATCGCTTTGTACTCTGTTAGAGCAACTGGAGGAACTTTGGCACCAGTACTGGGCCTTTTGTATCTATACTTCGTATCATAGAATGGCCTGTGTTGAAAAGGACCATAGTGATCATCTAGTTCCTTCCTGCCTCAGGCAGGGTTGCTAACCACCAGGCCAGGCTGCCCAGAGCCATGGAAGGTGATCCTCAGCCGTGTTACTCATTCCTTCTCTTCCATGTTTCTGGCTGTGCAGTTGCTCGAGGGATGCAGCTGAAATGCATTCAGATTCACTTAATAGTTTACTAATGGCTTGATAGAGGCACTGTAGTGGAAACGTTCCTTTTTGTGCAGAAAAGTGAATGAAATGGCTGCTGGACCAGGAGGATGTTTGATGTTTCTCTCTTACTGCATCATCTTCCCTTTTGTTTGAGGATTTATTTGAAGAGGTTCAAAAACTGATATAGCCTAAATCTTTTAATGGCTCTTTGAGCCAAGTATTGCTCTGAGAAATAGAATTTAAATGACCCATTACTTGCAGGCAGGGATAGAATGTCACTGAACCTTGAAGTCCTGACATCCATTTACTTTTCTTTCTTAATTCATTTAGTTTTGCTTACTGAAATGGCTTTATTTGGTCACAGGAAATGAAGCATCAAGGAAGGTTTTATAAATGTGAAGCTTTAAGTTTTTGGTTCCTCAGCGCTGGTGTTATTGAAAAGACTCAGCAGTTACTGAGACCTAACTACATAGTTTTTAAAGATAGTTTGTGTCTGTTGAAAACACGTGCTTCACAGATCACAACTTGCTAGGTACTGCTCTATCGATTGATGAAGATGACTGATGCTAAGATAAACATCTTTTTCAGTACTGGGTGCTGTAGGCCCAGCTTCTAGGGGAAAAGGGAAAGTAGTTGAAAGATGGGATAACTGTTGTTTGGTACAAACCCTGGCCTGCACCTTGTTTGGTGCAGCAGAGAGCAGAGTCCTGTGCTGGCAGGACTGGCACCCTGAGAGCATCTCCATGTCTGTGCTGCTTGGGTGCAGCAGCTTCCTGGAGCTGCTCCATGCAGGACCTGCTCTGAAGGATGGCTCAGCTGGGAGGAGCAACTTCTGGGCCCTTGCTTGGAGGGAAGGATCTGGCTGTGGTGCTTTGTCCCACAGGCTGGTTTCATGTGCTGAAACCTCAACTTTGCAATGGGCAGCTGTGGCACTGGCTGTTGTGCTGCTGATGGGAGCTGTGTGGTGGCTGGGCCGTGCTTTGGCTGTGTAGCAGCAGTGGATGGGAGCCCAGGCAGAAGCTCTCCAGACCCAGGTGTCGTGCTGGACACGTGCAAATGGTACGTGGAGCTGCTTCCTTCACTGGGTCTGCAAGGCACCTGCCCTAGGGCTCTGATTTCAGCTGCACAAAATAAATGCCCTTCACTCGATCCTATCCAGAATTTGAATGAGATGTTCCCGTTTCATTCTTTTTTTTTTCTTCTTTTTTCTTGCTTGCAAGCTCACCTTTTAGCATTAAGGACCCTAGAAAATCTAGAATTTTCATGACAGAGTGAGAAAGTTTTCCTTTTATTAGCTCATCCAAGGAGTCACTAAATCTGCTCTGCTGCTAACTTGGTATATAAATGATGTCCTGAGTGATCCTCCTGTGGCCTTTGGCATCACAGTTACATTTTTGTTCTTTACCTTTCTCTGTCTGCAGACTTATGTTTATTATTCTCAAGTCTGGGTGAGAGTGTGTTGAAGAGACTGTTGGCTGCAGGGTATCAGTGTGCCACTGCTGCTGATGGTTTGAATGTGCTCTCATAAGGCAAGTTGGCAGATTTTGTTGGAAAGTGCACATCTGTTTGCGTCATGTCTGGCTGAGGACAAAGCTGTTTATTCCTTCTTTTCATGTATTTGCTCTCTCCAAATGAAGTATTTCCATAGATTTCTTGACTCAAACACAGGATCTCACAGCTGTAAAGACCATTCAGTGTGCCTCAGATATTTGGACCTCTTTGAAAAGCCAAATGTAAGCCAACAAACACACTTACTAGCTCTTTGTGGCTAATTCTTTGCTTCAACTCCTATGGCACAGAATTGCTTTTTCAGAATCTCTCTGGGACTTTTCTCTTTGCTTTCCTACTTTGTGCATACTCTCTGGTTTGTATGTGCAATGTGTTTATATTTAAGTTTAGTGCAGTTTGCATAACCTTAAAAGTTAGCTTCTGTGTTGGTCAAGAAGTTCAGTGCAGTAGTGCTGTGGTTGTGTTTATTTTTCCTTTCTTTTCTGCATTAAACTCAGCTGACCTGCTGCTGGGCTCTGTGGTGTGCCTGACCATCATGGACTGTAGGTGCTCATCCTTTATAACATGGCATCTTGTTTTTTTTAGTATATATTTGGCTGAAATAGAGACGAGAATAGCAGCGATGAGGCAGGGAAGCCTGGCTGGATGCTGTGTGATGCATGGCCACTGCTGTTTGGCTGCAGTGTGCGCCTTGGGCCAGGCTCATCCTTCTTGCACTGCTTTGCCTGTGGCTCTGAGCAGCAGCTCTGGGAGCAATGTGCCTTTTGGCTGCACTGTGTGTGTTGGGCTGTGCCTCGCACCCACGCTGTGCTGTTGACATCATCCGGGTCCATTTTAATTAGTAGCATTAGGTCGTGATTTTCAGAGGTTGTGGAAAAACAGTCATATAAACTGCATGAAAGAAAGATGTGTTGTGTCAGTCTCTGGCTGCCATGGAGTTAATGTTCTGTGAAGTGCAGTGAGAACAAAAGAAGAATGATTTAGAGTGGGGGTGGTCTGTAGCATTGTGCTTTTTCATCAAGATACGATTTTCTGAGACTCGCATTTTCTTTCTGATAATAAGAGGATATCCTCTGACAAGGGGGAACTTATTTCACATTGAAATGTCAAAACTTGAAATATATTTGGGAGTCCAAATCTGCGTGCTGTACTTTTAAGCACAGAGAGAGCACTTTTCTATGGAGGCCCGATGCTGTGATGCATTAAAAGACAATTTGGATGTTGGGCAGTGTATGGAACACAGCTGAACAGTCACAGAGGCACAGAGCTGACGTCGTTGTTCTATTAATGACACTGCAGTGGACATTAGAACTTCTACGCCTTTTCAATCCAATACCAGTAGTTAAAGTTCTGCTTTGTACAACTAAGGGAGCAGTCAGACCATACAACATATCTGTACGTCTGTAGCGATCCTGACAGTGCAGATGTTATTCAGCAGTCACTGCTGTATGTGAGGACAGGAGAACTCTACTGGAGGAAAGGTATCAGCCAGACGTGGAGGTGGTAGCATCGACCCGAGCGTGTTTGGTCTTTCCAGAAATGGATGATCCCACCAATGAAGCAAAACGCTCCTAATAGATAAACAGCAGAACAAAGCCCTGACTCTTAAAGGATATTTTTCAAAGCTGTGAAGTCATTCATAAAGCTTTCATGGAACTTCAGTTCTCTATATAAATAGTCTCACTGCGTTCTTTTACTTTCTGGGACGGAAGCCAAGCTTTATGCAAGAGTTCAAACAATAGAAAAATTATAAAAGAAACTAGGTGGGACAGTGATAAGACAGTTAACGAACCACACAGAGGAAATATTTTATTAAAAGTACTCTATAAAACTGAGATAACATTCAGTCATTTAAACAAATTATTTCGCTTTAAAACTGCTGTTAGAAGAGAGCATCAGTTCTTAGGAGCAGAGTGGAGGACTCTCAGCACAGGCAATACATCTTTGGCCTCGTCTAACGATGTTATATTGTACAGCGAAACAGGGTGATTTAATTCTGAAACACTGACTGAAAGTGCTGTACCTGCAGCCTGTGTAAATCTCTGCCTCTGGGATACACAGAGCTGCTGCAGCTCTGCCAGCTGAGCTCCTTGCCTAAGTCAGGGCTCTCGTTGGCACTCAGTGGGGCTCCTTGGCGCTGCGCTTGGCAGCTATTGATCAGGATGAAGGTCTGCATGTAGCCAGTCGCTTGCTTTGGCTTTAGCTGCTTTGCAGTAGTTGAGGTTTAGGTCATCAGCTGGAGAAGGCGTCGTGTGCAGGCCGGAGCAGCATCCCCTGCAGACCTCTCACAGACGTGGCTTTGCTGGAGCTGGCAGCACAGGGCGGCTGCAGAGCTGAGAGGGCCTTCCTGGCACTGCAGGCTGGGATAACCAGAGTGCTGTCCTGGTCCTGGGGCTGACTGTCTCTGGCTCGAGGCAGCGTGCGAGAGCTGTTTTCAGTGGGGGAATAGCTGTCTTTTTTCAGTTCTGTTGTTCAGTTTTGAGTTAATCTTGTGCTGCTGTGGGCCAGAGAAGGTGAGCGTCAAGTGTTAGATGGGAGCATTCTATCTTTGATTTTTTTGGCTTCAAATGTGAGTCCGTTGCATAAGGATGCTGCTGCTTCTCTGCTAATTCATACCTTTGTTCCAACAATTGCGAACTGTGATGTATGGGCACAGAGCTGCAAGGGCTGTAGGTGGAGTCCTGGGGAGGCCATTGACAAAGGAACAGCTGCTGGCCTCTGGTTTGTGCAGGGTATGGTGCCTGCATAGGATAGCTGTCAGGACATCAGACACAGCTGTGGATTGGGCACCTTTGAGTCCTGAAAACAGACGTGAAGGCACCAGCACTCTGCATTGCCTTGGCTGCCTGACACCCTGCACACTATGGCTGTCCGTCGCAGGCAGGCTGGAGTTTGGAATGGGAGCAGGAAGCAGGGCAGAAAGGTACAGAAAAATACTTCTCCTCGGTCCCTGTGGCTGGGCATTCACCTTCAAACAGAGCTGGTGACATGAGAGAGCCTGCAGTTGGCACCAACAGCGAGAACTGCTCCATGCACGTGCTGGAGTGCAGGGCAGGACAGGCTGATGAAAGGGCTCTGCTTGCTGAGCAGCCAAGAGGGAACTTAATCTGCCATAAAGCAAACAGAGACGTTTGCTCCTTTCATTTTTAGAATGAGACATGTTATTCGCACTTGTCGGCTTTCTTCTCTCTATTTTAAGGTGATGTGTTTATCTTTAAAAGGCAAAACCAAACCAAAGCCTCACTAACAAAGGGAGAGCAGGTGTAAAATCCAGCTGATGATCAAGGAAGGAGCAGTTCGCTGGTTATGGCCTGAAAGTGCCCCAAGGCAGCTGACCCTCAGCCTGCAGTGGGTGCTGCAGCCAAACCCTTTGTGCCCTCACTGCGCTCCTCAGCTCTCTGCACCACAAGCATTTACATCTCAGGGCATTGCTGGTTTTGCTGTGGATTTACTCATCTGGAGTTCTCAATGCAAGATAGGAAGAATAATCTTTATTAAGGGGAAGGACAGTAGAGCTCTTGCAGGAAATTGTCTTGGATTTGGAGTCCAAGTGAAGCCTGAAGATGTGTTGTGCCTTGCCTGGCCTTGCTGTGCCTGCCGGCTGGGAAGGCAGAAGGAATGAGCAAAACTGTATGCTGAGTTCTGTTTGGCCTCAGTAAGTTAAAATCTGTAAAACCAGCATGCAGAATGAGGTAGCTGTTTCTTCTCAATTCATTTTCTTCAGTTTAAGTGCAGGTTGTTCAACAATAAGGAGATATTGGAAGCTTTCTGTGAGGAAAAGCAAAATTATTTAAAATTTTGAACTCAGTTGGTCAGCATTCCTTTTGGCTTCATATTCAGCGTTTCAATAAAGAGCTGAAAAATGTTTTTTGATAATTGTTTTGCAGCTATCCATTTAGAGTTGTTTTTCCCCCCCACATGTGGAAAATAGTACAAAGCATGGAGTTGCTGCAGCTCAGTGTCAGGAGATGGCTCGATCTTTGTTTAAGAAGCTGATGTTTAGCACAAACTAGACATGGGGAGCAATCTAGTGGGCAACTGCCTTGGAATGATGGACGTGTTGGAAGAAGTGCTGGAGAAAAGGGCAGTTTGGCCGCAGCTGGGAATCCCAGCCCTGCAGGCTGTCTGTGGGCTCAGGTGTGATGTCCTTCATCACTCAGCACAGTGGAAGTGCAGGGGTTGACCTGGGTCGTGGGGGGCTCGGACCACTCTCGTGCTGATATCCCGTTCTCCTCCACAGGCACGCTCTGAGGTGGTAACTCCAGTACATTTTGTGCCTGGTTTCAAAATAGTGTGGTAGGCATAAACTTTGAAATATGCATGCAAATTATGAACTTTCATTACTGTGCTGAGTGCTAGCCAAATCTTTTCACTTATACTGTTTTGCTTGTGACAAACAGTTGATTAATGATAATAAGAATATATTTTTCAGGGCAATAAAGTACATGGTGTTCAGTCGTCAAACCTGTTCTTTTTCTATTTTAGGGAGCCAAACGCTAAAATCTCCCTGCTTCTTTTAATGTAACTGGAGCATCAGGGCAGGATTCAGAAGTATGATAACTCATTCCCTGGGAATCCAGCCTGTGTGCTGAAGATGAATTCTTGACAGAGTGCAAATTTTGGGAGTAAAAAATAAACCTGCTAGACTTCCCAACTTTCCCTGTCACCATCCTTGTTACAGTGTGCTTTCCTGTGTTTTTGCTTTGAGTATTTCATGTCATCTTTAATAGTGCAGTAAGAAATGCCTGGGCATGTGGGGTTCCCTGATGTTCCCTCCAAGCACCCACGTGTGGTGCTGGGGTTTGGGCTGCTCTCACTCCTCCAGGTGCTGTGCGTGGTGGGATTGGTAACTGGTGCAGGGATGAAACGTTGTTCCCTATACATGTAGTCACTGCTTTTAATTTTAGTTGCCTTTATCTCCAAATTAAAGCTGCTCTGTTGAGTAATGCTTGTAATTAGATAAATTTATTCAGCAGTTCATAAAAATTCCTCGGGAACCACAGATGAGTTTCTAAAACTGCACACACAGCTTCAAAGTCCAGTTTGTTTCGGAATAATGTTCTGCATGTGGCAGCAGTGCTTTGTGTGTGTTTTCCCTTTTTTGAACTCCTCTGTGCCAGTGGTGTTTTTCTCCTATCCGTGGTGCCGCAGTCACTGTGCTGCTCCTTTGGCCCTGGTGAGGAATGGGAGGTGGGGGGAGACTGGCTGGGAAAGGGAGAAGGAATCCTGCCCACCATTTATTCATTTTCTCAAAAAAAGGAACCTTCTGGGCTTTGGTGGAAATGATTCCCCATTGCTGGTGCTGTGTGTAAGGTCTGTCTCGTTTACAAGCTCTGCTGCCAGAATTAATCACTTTGTTTGGAGACCTTTGGCGTGAGCATTGTTAAAATAATGGACGTGTGTTTTGCTTTTCCCTTCAGCTCCAGTTCAGACATCTTGAGAGATCTGGAAGCTGAGATTTGTTCGGTGCCCTCTGACAGGTAGGTAGAAACAGACGGGGGGAAAAGTACTTGAGGCTGATTTGTAGGCTCTTCTGGTTTGCTGAATCCTACATGTTTTCTGCAAGAGAGGCAAATGCCATTAAAGCATCAGGTTTGGTGAGAACCTCCACAGTTATTGGGGGCAAAACTTCTACAGTGTTGTTGGTTTGCTGGAAAATAATGCATGGGTGCTCCTAGAATCCCCAGATGAGTGGCTGAAAATCATTGTTCCAAAGTGTACATTGAGTATGGATGTATACTTAAACAAAAAACCAATAAAACAAACACAGAGTTTTATGGGAAAACAAGAGACTAAATACAATAGAAAATTAGTGTTAGGTTGTTGCCAGTCCTCACCTGTATCTCTGTGTCTAATTGAACGTCCTGGAATTGCAGCATTTGCTTTGGTTGACTTCTGTTAGGAGACAGAAAAGCACATTCTTGTTTCTAGAATCCTAATGTCATCTTTTCAAAGAACAAAAATCCCCTTCTGTTATTGGTAAGATTTAAAGTTTGTGTCTGGCTGTGCAAGGTGTTCTGTAAAGGAATGCTGCAAAATCATCCAGTGATTCCTGAAGAAAAGCAGTGAAATGCATGAAGGTGGAGAGCAAATGTTGGACTATCTGGGGATGCTGGGGCTGTGCAGGTATAGTGAGATTTACAGCAGTGCAGTGTTAGATGAACTGAAAAGCTGTGTAGGTATCGTACAAAGAAACAGGAATGAAGACTGATTGCATCTGTGACTTCTTGCATGCGTTAGCAAACTGAGTTCATTAGTGCAAGAAGAAATAGGAATGTCAAGTGTGGAAGCTGGATTCCCTAATGGGGCGTTTCTCTTTAGCAGTATTGGATGTTAATGTTAGTTATAATATATCCAGAGCAAAAATAATTTGTTACTTTGATGGTTTCCTTCACTCAGAAAATCTCAGTCTTTTGGTTGTTTTATTTGCGTGGTACCAAGTTTTGGCCAGGTTGGCAAGTGCACAAGAATATTAATTAAGTCAGGTCTGTGCATTTCATTACAGCTATATTGCTCTTCATTGCAGAATTGTGTCCTGCTGTTTGCAGCAGGGGAGAGCTTTGCTTTGGTAAGCTCAGTACCTGTGAAGGCACAGGCCAGCACAAAAACATTTCATAACCAGCACAGATTTTTGGTTTTGGGGCTGAGCATCTCTCTGTTTTTGTTATGGCTGATGATTGGGTATTTGCAAAGCAAGTGATATGGAAATTTCAGCTTTTGACATATTTCAGTACATAAGATAACTAACATTATGCTTTGGAAATAATTTAGGATGGCCTGTATTTGGCCTAGGTTCAAAAATGTCAATTTCTTGGTGAAGGGAACACTTCTAAATAGTGCTGTGTCCAGACTTCTGCATCCTTTTATATCCGTAATTCCACATGACATTATTTGGTATTTGGGCATGAGGGCTGAAAACATTGCTGTGTGCAGCCCTAGAGGATCTCACTTTAGAGATGGGCACTATGCTGAGGACAGGTCTAGCTATGAAATTCAGTGGGCTTCTCTCAGGACAAGACTGCAGAAGAGTCTCTGTTCAGAGATGGATGTGATGAGGGAGAATACATTTGTCTACGCTAACAATATAAGTCCATATGATTGCTCTTCTGCAGGATTTCTGTGTTAACTGAAATGGAGGAAATAGTTCTTCACGAGCATTACTTGCTTTTGCCAAATGTGATTTTTCAGTACTTTTAAAACTATGTCGTCTGTTTCATGTTTCTCACAGATGGGATTCACAAGATTTAGGGTCTCTTGTGTCTCTGGAAGGGTTAAGCTCAAGCTGAAGCTCCGGGGGAAGCAGTCTGCAGGGGCTGCTCAGCAGTCAGATGGTCACTGGTTCTGGTTGACTGTGGCTGGGGAATGTGCTCCTGGGGGCAGGGAAGCAGAGCACTGTGCAGTGGGGCAGGGAGCAGCTGTGTGTGCTGCCAGCTGCACCATGGGCTGCTGTGGTGAGCTGCAGGTTTCTTATGGTTTCACAGTGCAAGTCTCTAAAAGAGAATTTAATGCTATTGAAAAAAGAAAAGCTTCAAACTTTCAAACTTGTGCGGATGCTTTGCTCTCCCTAAGCAGGTGAGGAGGTGGCAGCAGTGATGTGGTGTATTTGGACCTCAGCGTCCGTGCCTGCAGTTCCCAAAGCAGCCTTCCCAGTGCTTAGCGTCAGGCTGAGGTTGAGCAGAGCAGCTCTGCCTGCAGCACATCTCAAGGTGTTGGAAAAGCTGAACTGCAGCATGCTGTGCCTTTTGGAGATAGTGATCTGCTGAGCCTTAATTTCCATGATAGATCTAATAAAGAAGCAATAAATATTCATATTCTGCGTTTAGGGTGGATTGTCTATTTTATGAAGCGCTTAATGAAAATTGAGGCATTACTTAAATTCCCTGGAGTCATCTTTCATCTCTGCTAATTGTCTTATTTTGACACAAAGAGATTAGACAGTAACACTCAAAAAATAAACCCGAGTATTTTTCTGTGGCATACTTGCCATTTGTTTGTGACAGTGCACGGATGGAGCAGATTTGGGATATTTTAGTGGCAATTTGCTGCATATTTTTAGCAAAACATCATTCCATTCCTGAAACTAACTTAAGCACAATTTAAGCATTCTCTGAGCTCTCAAAATTTTTTTCCTTGCTTTTCATATCCTCTGTTAAGTAACAAATCCATTTGCTGTGGTATAATGCTATTGGGACTACATAAATTCATATTACTCTATCTGATGAAATTGAGGCAGCGTTTCAGGCTCTCAGTAACCTCTTGGTGACCATTTAATGAAAGCCTTATGGTTCCGTGATGCGTGTGGCAAGTAGTGTGCGAGTGCTGAGCTGCAGGGGTTGCTCAGCTCTGTGGGAAGCATCGGATCTGAAGGCCTAGAAATTGGTGTGAGTTTGATGAAAGGCTTCTGTGGTGACTTCACCATTCACACCTTAGCTAAGTTCTGCTGGAGAGCTGGCAGTGAGATTTTAGGGAGTAAGCTGGTGGATGTATTTCCTGTAGGAGTGCAATGTGAGGCTTTAATCCTTCAGACTCAGTTTCTGATGAAGCAAGCATCTTTGTGCAGGTATGCATTAGCAGCAGGGCCATGGACATTTGAATTGCATGTGTCCTGCTGTGGGATGCAGTTATGTACCTGAACTCATCTGTTCCCTTCAGGGTTTTGCTGGCATCCAGGGTTATACAAATGTCAATGGCTTTGCAGAGTCGTGGCTTGAGAAGCATTTAATAACGTACTGACAGAGACCCTGTGTGCAGAAGTTGCCTTATTAGACAAAACCTCTAAGCAATGATTGCTTGTTTACCAGGGTATCTTTGGATGGCATTGTCTTTCTTTCCAGTTTCAGTGCTGTTTCCGTGCAGTGATTGCACTGCAGTGCTTTCTCAGCAATGCTACTTGTTCTGTATGCAAAGGTGTACGTGGGCAGTTGAGTTGGAAACAGGTTTTAGAGTCCCCAGGTTTCACCCAGCCCTGTGCTGACCCTGCATCCCATCTGCTGACAAGTGAAGCTGTTGCTTAGAAAGCATTAGTTCTAAGCTTATTTATTTCTGCAGGGTTTGGGAAGGCAGACTGTAGGAGTGTAGCACTGGGTACTGCAGCAAGTCGCAGAGCCGTTGTGTGGCACTGCTTTGTGTTGCTCAGTGTTCCCAGGGCTCCACCATTCTGTTCTCCTAAACCTGCATAATGGTGGCTCCTGCGAGCAGCGCCAGCTGAGACAGAGGGCACTGTGTGTGCAGGCTGGCTGCAATCAGCTGGTCTGGGGTGGTTTCTGTGACCAATGCCATCTCTGGAGTAGTGCTAGCTCTAGGTTGCTGTAAGTCACTTTGTCAACCTCTATTGTTATTTTTCTGAGTTTTCTTGGTGGGTTTTTATTTGAATTTACTTAGAAAATAGTTAATCGCTCTCTTAATTCAATGCTAACTTTAGTGTTTGTAACCTATCTTCAGTTCAGTGAAACAAAGGTAGAAAACATGAAGCTTCCTTATAAAACAAAATCTGGACAAGGATGACGCAGAAGTGATGTCTGCTGGGTTATCTGAGAGTGGTGACATCCTTCCGTGTGTAGGCACTATGTGTGAGTAAAAAGCAAAACCCGTTGTTTTCAAGAGCTTCAGGCTTAGAGGTAATTATTTTGTTATTGGGTGTTTGGTGTTGAAGACATGGGAGGTTCTGCAGAGGGTTCATCATAGCCTTTGGGGATGTTAGGACATGCTTTGTGATAGTGTTGTCCAGATGTAGTAGGTAAATGAAGCTCGGGCTCACTGTGGAGCCCATAATCTGAAGCGCACAAAGTCAGTGAAGAAAATGGAAAGCAATACCAAGAGGCTCGAAGGATAATTGAGTAGCAAATCAAATGAGCAATCATAGTAGAAAATCCAATTGCTTGGCTGCCAGTGCGGCCGTGCTGCTTGTCGGAGCTGCTCGCGAGCAGAGCAGCAGGGAATCGTGCCATCGGCTCTGCTGTGCTCTGCAGTGCGGCTGCGTTGCGCTGGGCAGGAGGAAGCATGGGGAGCTGCTGGAGGCTCTGGGTGCACGTTGTTCCTGATCCGTGCGTGTGCTCCTTGCTGCTGCCAACAGGGAAACGACTGCAGCGTTCGAGTTCCTTAGAATCACGAGGTTGGAAAGGACCTACGAGAGCACCTGGTTGAAACCATGCTCCTGTCACCATCGCTACCCACTGAGCTACTGAGCTGTGTCTCATAGCACCTCATCCAGACTCTTATCCAGATTTCATCTTATTTCCAGTTGTGAATTTCCTGTTTAAGCTGAGTGAATAGTCCCCGTAGGGTAGATTCATCCTAGCAAACGGCTTTTGAAAAAATGTGTTTATGAAGAATGTTTAATTAGTAATGGCTGTTGATGGGCAGAGCAGTATCTTTCACGTTGACTCTATGTGTGTTCCAAGCTCAAAGCAGGTTGATGGAAATTAGCTGTATAATTTAAATAAGGCTAGCTTAACTTTTTTTTTTTTCCCCCTTTAAAATTAACTGTAACTGAAATGAAATCACTTCTTTGAGCTTCCAGTGACATTCTTTGTCCGTAATGGGAAGAGCCTCAGGTGAAGGGTTGCAGCTGGAAGGTGGGAGCCCCACGTGTTGTCCTGGTGGGACAGCCACCCCACAGCTGCTGTCCCTCCTCTTGGTGGCTGTGCTGTGCACGACTGTTCCATGCACACCTTTGCTGATGTCACGTGAGTGTGCCAGCACTGGAGGCTGTGGGTGAAGTACTGGGAAGGCTGTTTTTCCTTCATCTCAGTTCCAGGACAGAGCTGGGCAGTGCTGGACGTGTCTGTGCCCATGGGGTTTGTGGGTACTGCTACCCTCAGGCACGGGGATGGAGCGTGTTTCTGTTCATGCCCCAGAGGGATTGTGTGCTGTGGGTACTGTGCACCCAGTGCCTGCTGTGCCTTTGTACAGCCTTCAGCATCTGCCTGTTCAGAGCACCTTGGAAACTCTTTTTTCCGCTTTTTTTTCCAGCAACTGTCTTCTGGACCTGAGAACTAGCAAGAGGAAGGCGTGCCAGTCCCAGCTGCCAGGAGGGGATCGACTGCTTCCCAGGAGCAAGAGGAAGAAGAGCTGATGCTGTGGGGCCACTGGGCTTAGGTAGTGCAGAAGGCTTAAGGCTGAGAAGTGCTTCTTAGACTTCTCCTGCTTGCAGTGTATCAGCGTACTTAATAAGGTGTTGAATTCTTGCATAACTGCCAATCAGGCTGCCTTAAAATAACCAAGTGAGTGCACAGGCACTTGTGTTTGCAGCACTGTGCCCCATAACTGTAATGCTGCTGGGGTGCTGGGTGAGCCCTCCTGCAGCCAAGCAGTGGTTCTGTGTGGCGCTGCAGCCCTGCCCTGCTCACATGTGCAGTGCCTGCAGTGTGGGCTTTGCAGGCTGTGGTTGCATGGAAACCCTTCCCCCCTTTGAGCACCACACTAGAAGGGCAATAGATTTGTTTGATTTGGTGTAATTTGGTTTTCTGCTAGTGAAATAAACTGTAAACTCAAACTGCAGAAATGCGCTGGTTTTGAATACATCCTTGGAAGCATGTTCATTAGCAGGTGTTGCTATTTCAGCTTTGTATTATAGCTGAAATAAATTGGAAGGTTTGAGCCTTCTGCCCTTTAAAATAAATAAGCAGGTGGGAGCAGCACTGTGCTTCTGGAAGTGCTCCATGTAGTGTGGAAGCGAGAGGTGACTGGAAGAACTGTGCCTGTGGCAAGTGAGGGGTAATGCCTCTGTGGGGTGGAGGAGATGCAGAGGGAAAAATAGGGAGCAGATTTTTTTTGTTTGGTTGGCTGTCAGTAAGACCATGCCTTCTGAAAGAGAGCAAATATTGACTTATGCTTTTAGGGCCACCTTTAAATCATAGTAATCCATGATGAACAGAAAAATACTGTGTGCACTTTGCCAGAGAAGAGTAGGAATGTATGTAATGGTCAGTGTCAGACTCACTGCAGCAGGTCAGCTTCCATCCTCTGCTGTGCATCCCAGATCTTTATCATTATGGTTTGATTGTATTTGAGTTAACAGTAATTCATTTTCTTGGTGATATTCACTGTCATGCACAAAATATCCTCAAAAAACTCTTGTGAGTAACACTGGGACACACGCTGTGAGCTGTGGCACTGAGGAGAGCTGTGAACACTCCTCTGGCAGGAGCTAAAGGGCTGTGCCTTCTGGCCTATGTTCTGCAGAGCTGTGCTGGTGTGGAACTCTGGTTCTGATGCAGTGTAAGTGCATCATAGCTCAGGATGAGTCAAAACCTTTCCCCAGCTAGCACTGGTGCAAGGTGGGTGCTTGAAGTTATAGCATCGCTCTCTTGGTTTTAAGTGCAATGGCAACCTGAGCAGTTGGGCTGCAGTGCTGGCCATCTGCTGAGCCCAGCTGTGGCAGTGCATCTGAGTGCTGTGTGCTGCACAAGGGCTGCAACTCCGCTGAGTCAGCAGGGAAGCAGCCCCGGGGGGAGCTTTGCTCATTAATGCCTGTGTGACTGTATTGATAGCTGAGGCTTTTTGTTGGCTTTGAAGCCAGATGCTGCTTGCGGAGTTACATTTGTAGTTGATGGCAATAAATCCTGACTTGAGCAGAAAATATACTTCCATTTCCAGAGGGGATAAATAGTCTTAATTCATTAAGTGAGTTGGGGCTGGAGAGTACTCAAAAAAATCAATAGAGAAGGGGAGTGAGGCAGGGCGAGGTGCCAGGCACTGTGCTTGCCTTTCTGTTCTGCTGGGGAGCAGGGGGCTGGCATGGGATGCTGGGCAGTACGGCAGGGCCAGCTGTTTGCAACCAACCTGCTGACCAAAGGGAATTCATTAGTAACAAATGTTACTTGGTCGCATTAAAACCTGCAGAGCTGTGTGTGAGCCCAGCTCCCGTGGGTGGGTGCTGCTCTGCGTGGTCACTGCCAGCCCTGCAGTGTGTGTCCCCTTGTGTGAGAGCAATGTGGTGAAGAACCACGTCTTCAAAAGGTGAATGTCCTGAGTGTGGCACAAGCTGAAGCTTTGGGAATTTGTCTTCCTTCCGCAGTCCTTTGTTCAAACACAGTACCTCCAAGCAGGAAAGCTGAGTGTGATCCTCCTCAGCTGAGTATCTGAGGACTCCTTCCTACATGCCCGTGGGGAGGCACAAGGCTTCATAACAGTTCTTACATCTTTGGAAATGTTCCGGATATAAACTGCTGTGTTGATGCTTGCAGTGAACCAAACCATGGCCTGGTGCCTTACGTCTGCAGCAGGCTTTCCCCAAAGAGCCATTTTAAGTTGAAATAAAACCCGGATTTTTATTTCTTAAGTGCATCCCATTCATCCTTTGCAAATTCAGTTCTCAGCTGTTTATTTTTTTATATTGATTGTGTCCTTTAAAGCAAGGGTTGCTTGCATCATCAGTGTCAGCTGCTGTCCCACCTGGCTGCTGCCCTGGGCGGGAGGAGAGGTTCAGCTGCTGCCTATCAGGTATGTCCCACCCATCACACACCTCGCTCTCCCCTTGCTGCTCAGGAAGCAGCCCAGGAGATGACAGCCTGCTTTGGGCTGTTGGGGAGAGGCTGCTTTGGGAGCACCGGCACTGGGATTTTCACTGGGATTTTTTGTGCTGCTCAGTAGGAAATGGATTCCTGCCTCCTTCCACGGCAGCTCAGAAGGTGCCCCTCAAGAAAAGCAAGGCTCCTTTGCCTGAAGCTCTCTGTAGGAGTGCTGCCCTCTCCAGCCCCACTCTGTGCTGCCCCCTGCTCCCTTCTGGAGCCCCAAACCTCTTCCCTTGGATGCAGTGCTGAGTCCTGCTGGGCATTCTCTGCATCCTTCATTGGGCACAGTTTGACCATTGCTCATTTCAGAAGTTCAAGGTCCTAATGAGTAACAGGGTACCACTGGTAAAGCTGCTAAAAGAGCTTTGCACAAAATTGCATGAAGGTAAATTCATGGAGAAAGCAAAACTGCAAGGCAGAGCATCACCAGGAAGGTTTTCAGAAGGAAAATTTCATTTTTGGAGAAAGTGGTAGTTCAGCCATAGCTGCTGTTGGTACTACAAAGGTCTCTGCCTGCACAGAGCACCTGATGCGCTCTGACCATAAACCATCACTGCTCTGTGAGCAATGCTACTTATGCATGGTTGGAATGTGAGCTCAAATGAGTTCCTAATTGGCAATTGCTTTCCTCGTTTACCCTGTGATCTCTGCTACCGTGTCTGTGTGTGCTGGCCACAGATGAGCATCTGTGTAAAGTTCCTCTTTGCCCAGGGTAATAAATCATAATAAATCACTGCTGCGGATCTTTGCTAAGGCAGATCTGTGCTGCAGCTGTGCACACGTCTGGCTGCACTCTGCTGGCACTGCAGTGGGTCCCCATGGGGCACTGCCTCGTGCAGCACTGTGGTGGGCTGAGGCTGCGCGGGTGTCAGTGCTGAGCTCTGCAGAGCTTGGGAGCAGAAACATTTACATTATCCTGCAGCAGGGTGCTGGAAGGTGCCAGCTTGTGATGGAAAGCGCAGCGCTGTGCCGTGGGCAGGCAGCGCTCTGAAGCTCCCCACGCAGAGGGCTCTGCTGCTGTGTGGTTGGCTTCGTGCTGCCAGGCCTCAGAGCTGAGCTCTGCATGGCGATGGCTGCTGATGGGAAGAGGCTGTGCTGTGGGACGTTTGGGGTGTGCCTCTGTGGATGGCAGCAGGTCGTGCTGTTCCTGTGCATCAATTCGGAAGCAAAGCCCGCAGCTCTGAGGAAAGTACCTGCACAGTTTCTGATAGATCTGATAGGTGAAACTGCCCTGCAATGAGCTGCTGCCACCACTCACTGTGCTGCAGTTTTATTTCTGTACTTAACGTTTTGTTGAAAGCGTTGCTGTGCCAAAGCCTTACTTTTGCTCTTGCCTTGTTCCTGGAGCAGCAGCAGCAGCAGATGCTGTGCTTTGGGTGGAGCAGCAAAGGGCTCTGCTTTGCTCAGCCGAGGGCAGGTGCTGCTGTGATCCACGTGCTGCAGTATTTCTGTGCTGGATCCACTCAGGTGCAGACCAGGTGGCTGCGTGGGGCCTTCTCCCTGCAGGGAGCTGAGCTTTGGGTAACGCAGATGCCAATCCCCATCCTCTCCTGCAGCAGGCTGGTCCCTGCCCAGAGCAGGACTGCTAGGCAGTTTGGAACTCATTTTACAGCCTAGATACTTTAGAAATGAAAGAAAATATTTTGTTTTCCTGGGAGTATTGATTGCTGGCATGAGCGGCACCTGGAGCCCTTCTCATGCTTTGATGGAGAGCACTGCAGTCATAAAGGGACTCCATAAAACAATGCTTCTCCCTGCAGTGCTGGGGCTGTGGTGCTGCCCAGTGCTGGCAGCCCTAGCTGAGGTACATCTTTACAAAAAGCCTTTTAACATTCTTTTTTTTTTCCCCTCCACATTATTGAATACCTGTATCTCCTGGTTGCAGCTGAGCAAATGACTCACGGCGCGTGCTTTCCGCAGGGAGTTCAGCTGCACTGCTTGCACAGCTCTAGCAGTGGTTTGTTGCTCAGTGGCTCTCTGTGCTGCGTGCTGGGCTGGTGTCTGCTCTGCAGTCCATCCTCAGGTCCTCCAAACCATCACTATGACACCGAAGCGTGGGCTCTGAGCGAGAGCACTTCTGTCTGCGAGTGCTGCCAGCAGTGAATGCACTGCTGGAAGTGTCTATCGGTACCAGCTCTTATCCCTCTCTGCTCTCCAGCAATAGGAGTGCAGGCCTTGAATGCAGCTGAAGGTATTCCACAGGTATTTATTTGGACATCAGCACAGTGCTGCAGCAGCCTCGGCCGTGGCACTCACAGCCCTGGCTGCAGTTGGCTCAGGGCTGCACTTCCCCACCACTTCTCACTGCTGTGCTCGGGGCTCTGCTGGCCGCAGCGGTGCCAGCAGCTGTGATGGTGCAGCCCACCAACCTTCACCCACAGCACAGCCAGTGCGTGCCAGGGTGCAGTGGTGGCTCAGGGGGGACTCTGACTTTCACCAAAGAGTTTTATAGGGGGCAAATTTCACTCTCGGCACTGAAGGACAGAGTTAGGAGTGCAAAGAGGAGTTTTTCAGTGTCATGAGTCAGGTTCTCCTCTCCAGTGTCTGCTCAGTTGAACAGCCCAGTGACAAATGGCGTGTGCATGCTGTGGGAATGGCAGATTTGTGAGCCCTTGGGTGGGAGAAGTGATCTCCCTTGCCACTTTCAGGACATGCTGCTGATGGTTTATAGCCCTTTCATACCAGTGAGTTTGAGCTCAGGCTCCCGTCCTCAAATTTTCATTCTGCTTTTCTGTGTTGGGGTTACATCAGGTCCAGACACAGCGCTGGGCAGTGTGTGAAGGGCTGAGAGAGTCCTCGTGGTTGTCAGCAGTGGGGTGAAGCATCACAGGTTTGGGGAAATGCAGGTCAGGTTTGTTGTGTGTGTGGCAAAAAGCACTAAAGGGACAGAGAGGGCAATAACAGCCGATGTGAATTGGACAGTAAGAAGCCATTTTAATGCTGCGAAGCCTTCAAGTGCTTCTGCCCAGTGTAAAAGACAAACACTGTG